CGCAGTGTCCTTTTCCCTCAGCCAACCGGAAGTCCGGTTCCCCCACCGTAGAGTCTCCTCCTCGCGCGGCATCCTTTTTCCTCTGCCAACCGGAAGTCCGGTTCTCCCATCATAGTCTTCTCCTAGCGCAGTGTCCTTTTCCCTCAGCCAACCGGAAGTCCGGTTCCCCCACCATAGAGTCTCCTCCTCGCGCGGCATCCTTTTTCCTCTACCTGTCCTAACCGAAAGCCTTATCAATTGTGGAGCCGACTGGAAAACCCACGCCTTGCCATAGAGTCTCTTCCTGGTGCACCATGCTTCCCCTGCCCCCTAACCGGAAGCTCCTCTCAAAATTGTGGTGCCGACCAGCAACAGAGAGACGAAAGAGCCACATGCGGCTCCGGAGCTGCGGGTTGCCGACCCCTGCTCTAGACCCATAAACTGAACTACAGATACTTCGATAAATTAAAGCCGTGTTTCTCAACCTTGGCTGCTTGAAGATGGGTGGACTTCAACTCCCAGAATTCCCCAGGCCGGCTGGGGAATTCTGGGAGTTGAAGCCCGCCCATCTTCAAGCCGGCAAGGTTGAGAAATGCTGGAGAATTCAAATACCTGAGGTGATGGGTTGAGAGTTTTTCCACCAGGGTGGCGGCCAGCCTCTCCCCCACCACGAGGAGGAAGGTGACCACAATGTCATGGTATCCCTGGTAATAATGGAGTTGTGTGTTGCGTTGCAGAACCTGGAGGATGCAGTCTATCAGCTCTTCCTGGAGTCCCTCCCTCTGCTCATCGGGCATGTCTGGAATGAAGGGAAGAGAGGAAAGGTGTTAGGAATCTATCCACCAATTAGTTGGGTTGACAATATATAAACCAACAATGTATGTTTGTAGCTTTAAGACAAAAATCACTGTACTGTACAGGATGTGGAAAAGAACTAATGAAACTATATACAATGAATATATATAATTCAAGGCAAAAGAAATTCAATTAAATAGAAGGAAAGGGAGCAATAAAGAGAAGTTGGGAAAAGATATGAAGTTGAACAGATAAGATAAACATACATATTAAATTGTGTTTGTATAGAAATGGGATAATTTGGAATTATTTTGTTTTTAAATAAGATGTTTTATTTGTTTTTTTCTAGAAAAGATATTTTATCTTACTACATCCTATGTTTTGTTTGTTTGTGTATTGTTATTTAAAAATTAATAAAATTTGTTCAAAAAAAAATCACTGTACTTATTTATACTATATTCCGATTGGGTGAATTGTTAAACATATATGACCTGGACCGTTTAAAGTTTACCTTAAAGTAAACTTTAACTCAATTTAGTACTACTCTCATAAATGCTTAACTACTCTCATAAATGCTTCCATGTGCATATCCTTGTTATTCTGTACATATCATAACAAAAGAGAGAAGGAGTGAATGAAGCAACCGCAGAAGAAACGATGCTTATCTGAATCCTTGTCTCACAATCCAGGAGAGAAGCAAACTAGAACTAAGAAGAAATTTCCCGACAGTGAGAAAAAAATTAACCAGTGGAACAACTTGCCACCAGAAGTTGTGAATGGTCCAACATTGGAAGTTTTTAAAGAAGAGATTGGGCAACCATTTTGTCTGAAATGGTCTTCCTGCTTGAGCAGTGAGTTGGACTAGAAGACCTTCCGAGGTCCCCCCCGCCAGTTCTGTTATTCAGTTCTATTCTAAAGAACCACCAAGTTAGGATGGATGATCTACAGGTAGTCCTTGAGTTGCAACCGTTCATTTAGGGACTGTTCAAAGTTACAACCTTATTCACATCCTCACAAACTGAGTCAGGTTCACATCAACTGCAGCGATTCACTTCACAACGGTGGTAGGAAAGGCTGTAAAAGGGAGGGCAAAACCCACTGAACAAGCAGTCTCACTTAGCAGGAGAAATGTTGAGACTAGCCAGCGTGTCGCAATGTGCAGCTCAAAGCAACCCAATATCCCCATTGGCTGAGAGCACCAGGCAGATCCACTGGGAAAAGATCGACTTGTTCTGAGCCACTTGGGGGTGTTGCTATAGCCACAAGATCGCAAGCCCTGGGCTGAGCTGGGGAAGGGAAGGATCCTAGATGGGGAGTTCTTGAAGTAGACCGTCATTTGCCAAAAACAAACAGACATATAGGTTCCCCGCCCCCCCGCCACTTGGCATCGCTCTGCTGAATTCCCACAGCCCTGTCTTCGTTTCTCACCTTCTCGTTTCTCCTGCTATCTTCTCCTATTGGTTGGCCACGATTTATCACTTGCTGTTGGTTATCTTATGATTTATGATCTCTCTCTGATCACTTTGTTGTTTGTATGCATATTAAGAGCTTCTACGCCAGAGACAAACCCCTTGTGTGTCTGATCACACTTGGCCAATAAAGAATTCTATTCCCATTCCCATTCCATCCCACCCCCTATTCCATTCCATTTTTTCCCTATTCTGCTCTGTTTTCTATTTAATTCTATTCTGTTTTGTTCTTGTCCTTTTTTCCTATTTCTATTTCTATTCTCTACTAGCTGGATATCTGTGCTTTGCTCAGGTCACAAAACTATGTGATCAGGCTTAGTTTTTGGGGAGGAAAATAAGGGGAGGGGGAGGAATTTCTGCCTCTGCCTACCAGCATCCATCGGTATTCATCTGGCTAGCGTCCTGTCAGTGTGTGAGAGAGTTGAGGGCTGTTTGGAAACTGAAACAGTATTTGCTGTGTGAGCAAGGAGACAGACAGCAAGGAGCCTGGGCATGGCTTAGCTCAACTGTTCTGTACTAATGCTGCTTGGTGCTGTGAAACTGAAACTCCTCTGCTTGTGTTTTGCATTTGGAAATTTCTTTTTTTCAGGTGGGGAGGGGGAGTAGACCTCCTTAGCATCAGAGCGTGTTAATAATAATAATAATATAGGAAATACTAATGCTATGATGGCCATTTCAAAAAATCCTTTCTTAGTGAGCACCTACAAGCCAAGAGGAACATAGGTGCCAAATTTCAAGTTTGTAGGCTTGACGGTTCTGGAGATTTTGCGATGATGTGTGAGGGGTATTTCGCTTTTATATATATATATAGAAGATTAATTCAGCCTGGCAATTATGGTCCTAAAGTCAGGACTTATTGGTTTCTTTTGTATTTTAATCTTCTGAATAAATAAGAAAGAAAATTGATGGAATAAGTTGTGACAGTTGGGGAGTGGATCAGCATGTGGCCGGAGCCAATTTTACAACCTGTTTTGTGGCAGCTGTTAAGCAAACGTAGCCGTTAAGGCATGGTTTATCTATGGGGTGCGTTTGGCAACGGGTTCATAAATAGCTTTTTGGGAATGTGTCGTATAGATAGTCCTCGACTTACAACGACAATCGAGCCCCAAATGTCCGTTGATAACCAAGACCGTTAAATGGGTTTTGTCCCGTTTTACGAACTTCCTTGCCACAGTGGTTAAGGGAGTCACGGCAATTGTTCTGTTAGTAACACAGTTTGTTAAGTGAATCAGGCTTCCCCAGAAGGTTGCTGGTCCGAAGGTCCCAAAAGGGGATCATGTGACACTGCAACCGTCAAAAATGTGAGTCAGTTGCCAAGCGTCAGAATTTCGACCACATGACCGCGGGGGGATGCTGCAAACGGTCGTTAAGTGTGATCTACGAAGGGGCTTCGTAACTTTGAACAGTCATACCAGCGAATGGTTGAACGTTGAGGATGCCCTGAATTCAAGGGGTTGCTAAGCAGCCGGTTATAACTCAAGGACTCCCTCTAATAGGAGAACATCCAACTCTCCTTGTTTTGTAGCAAAAAACCTTGGGAAGGACTCAAGGATTAACACAACCACATAAGGAACAGCAGACTGTTGCAGAAATGTACAGGTAATCCTCGAGTCACGACCACAATCGAGCCCCAAATTTCTGCTGCTAAGTGAAACATTTGTCAAGTTGAGTTTTCTGCCATTTTTACGACCTTCCTGTTCTGACTTAGACCTTCCCAAGATCACGAAGCCGACTCCTCGTCCGGATAAAACCCCTTTTATTTAGGTTCAAGGAATTCCTCTCCAGCCAAGAGCCTTTCAAGAGATCTCACAACTCCAGACCTTGATCAGGCTGGGAGAGTTGCCAGGCCGATAGCTCCCAAACCCCACGCTGTAGCAGCAATGACTTGGCAAGAAGTCAGGAACAGATCTTCACCTGAATGAATTGAACTGATTGTCTCCTGAAAACCCCACTCCCCTTTCGCTCCTCTTTTATTCCCTATGGGAGGGGCCATTCACCGTCCACCGGAGCTTTTACTGCCAAGTCGACCCTTGTTCCTTAGCTGTTCCCTTCGTCTGGCAGCTCTGCGCATGCGCACACTGGGAACAGGCTCCAGCTGCTCTTCTTCCCCGCTGATCTCCGACTACGAAGGCAACTGATAACTGTCAGACGGCCCTGGCCCCATCTCTGCCTCCGACGCAGAGCCCGTCCGAGCCTTCCCCAGACTCCGGGACTGGCCCATGCTCCTCCCCAACCTCCTCACTGCCCGAGTCTGCCACCAGTTCCGCTGGCAGGCCACAACGACTTCCTTGCCCCAGTTGTGAAGTGAATCATCGCATTTGTTAAATGAGTCACACGGTTGTTAAATGAATCTGGCTTCCCCATGGACTTGGCTTGCTGGAAGGTTGCAAAAGGAGATCGCGCGACCCCGGTACACTGCAACTGTCATAAGTATGAGTCAGCTGCCAAGCGTCTGAATTGTGATCACCTGGCTACTCCTATGGTCGTAAGTGTGAAAAACGGTCCTAAGCCCCTTTTTTTTTCCAGTGCCTTGTAATTTCAAACGGTCACTAAATGAATTGTTATAAGTCAAAGACTCCCTGTATTCCTTCAGCATCTCCTTGAGGAAAGCTGCAGCAAATGAACCTGTTTTCAAGTCATTTAAGGGCCGTGCGTAAGTGCACAATTGTGCCTACTGTCCAGTGGTGGGATTCGATTTTTTTTTACTACCGCTTCTGTGGGCGTTGTTTGGTGGGTGTGGCTTGGTGGGCGTGGCAGGGGAAGGATATACTGTAAAATCCCCCTTCCCTCCCCACCCCACTAGCCTGCTTTCCAGCTCTGTTCTCCTGTGCAGGGCAACCAAAGAAGACCCAGCCGATCAGCTGGGACTCAATGGGAGGCAGAGAAGAGATGGGGGTTGGCGGGGTCAGACAGAGGTGGGATTGGCCGGTTCTCCGAACTACTCAAAATTTCCGCTACCGGTTCTCCAGAACCGGTCAGAACCTGCTGAATACCACCTCTGCTCCAGTCCCTATCCTATTGTCCCCATTTATTCGTACCTATATCCTCTACTCTTACTCATGTTTATATCTATACCTATTACCTTGTAAGAGACTGACAAATCAAATGAATAAAATAAATAAAATTTTGCAGGAGAGTCCAAAATTTGTCACGGTCAGGAAAAGGATCGACCGGTCACCGTACCTGGCGGGAAACGTCGGAGGGAACGTCTTACATCCAGCAGGACTTGCTGATAATCCTTGCTGTTTTCCCGAAGTTCTTCCTCTAAACGGAACAGCGAAGAATATCATAGTTAATTGTAATTACAAAGACAGACCAGGAAACTAAGGAAATGTGCCGTTAAACCATGGATGATTTTCAGCCAGGCCTGCTTTGTGTTTTGACATCTCTTAAAAAGACGGTTAAGGAGTCTCAGGGAGACAGGGAGTCTCGTTTTGCGACTAACCAACATCATGGAAAGTCCTCGACTTGCAACAGTTCATTTCATGACCGTTCAAAGTTACACCATCATTGGAGAAAAGTGACTGATGACCGCTTTTCACACTTACAACCATTGCAGCGTCCCCAGCGTCACGAGATCAAAATTCACAAGACCCTTGGCAACTGGTTCGTACTTACGACGGTTGCAGTGTCGTGGCGTCACGTGCAGGGGTGGGATTCTACCTGTTCGGACCGGTTCTATAGAACCGGTTGTTATGATTCTGCCCAGTTTGGAGAACCGGCAAATCGCACCACTGGCTGGCCCGGCCCCCCCCCCCCCCCCCCCCCCCCCGCCCACTCACTGCTTACCTGGCATGCGCGCCATCCAACTTGCCTGCGTTAGCCTAATTTTTGGTAAGTTGCTATTTTTCCTTTTTTCCCCCCGACCATCAGCTGTTCTGACTATCAGCTGTGCTGGAGACTTAGATTAACTAGAAAGCAGGAAACCGTTGGATTTCTTGCTTTCTAGCTAATCTAAAAGCAGAGCCGAACCTTCCTAGCTTCTATTTTTCAGTGCAGACTCAGGTAGTAGATTGCAGAAAGATAGATCTCTGAGTGAATCTGTGATTCTGGGAGCAACTCAATCTGCCTGCCTCCTTTGCCTGATTTGGGGTAAAAATTGCTCTTTTCTTTAATAAAAAAATTCAATGTTTACATGTTGCAATATACAACAATAAATGGACGCTTAATGTTGCAATGGTCAACCTTGTAAAAGTGCTGGATGGACAGTAATGTTGCTATGTGACAAAGTGCTGACTGTGTGGAAAAATACTGGCTGGAGAAACGAAAGTTATGTGGGAAAAGAAAGTAACTGGGCAGGGCTAAGAGTGGAGGTGATAAGACCCCAGTTAAATGTATAGTTTTTGCATTAGCATAATTATGTAGATTACCTTATAAGGAAAATTTCCTTGTTCCTGCTATGACGCTTGCAAGCAACCTAATAAAAGGAGGTACCTGCCCTTTGTTCAGGGCCTTCATCCCGAGTAAACATTGTGTCCGTGTGTTTATTTATTTACCATGAGAGGCCCAGGGCTCTGAACTCAGACCCTGCCGTCGCCAGGGTGTGGGCAGCAAAAAGCCACATTTACATAATGATGTGTTGTGTGTTAATTTTGTGAGTTTGCTTGCAAGCAAATTTTATGTGACAGATTCAGGTAGCAGACTGCAGAAAGATAGATCTCTGAGTGAATTTGTGATTCTGGGAGCAACTCAATCTGCCTGCCTGCTTTGCCTGATTTGGGGTAAAAGTTGCTCTTTTTTTTAAATAAAAACATTTAATATTTACATAACGGTATGTTGTGTGTTAATTTTGTGAGTTTGCTTGCATGCAAATTTTATGTGACAGACTCAGGTAGCAGATTGCAAAAAGATAGATCTCTGAGTGAATCTGTGATTCTGGGAGCAACTTAATCTGCCTGCCTGCTTTGCCTGCTCTGGGGTAAAAGTTGCTCTTTTTTATAAAAAATGCAATATTTACATAAATATTTACAATATTTACATACAAACCATGCCCAGTCAGTCATGTGACCGCCAAGCCACGCCCACAAATTAGGCCACGCCCAAGTAACCGGTTGTTAAGAAACTTGAATCCCACCCCTGGTTATGTGATCCCCTTTTGTGACAAGCAAAGTCAGTGTGGAAGCCTGATTCACTTAACAACGTTGTTACTAACTTAACTGGAGTGGTTCACTTAACAATTGTGGCAAGAAATGTCTTTAAATGGGGCAAAACTCCCTTAACAAATGGCTCGCTGAGCATCATAAATGTTGGGCTCAGTCGTGGTCGTAAATTGAGATTACCTGTAACTCTTGACTTATTACCACAATGGAGCCCAAGCTTTCTCTTGCTCAGTGAGACATTTGACCCATTTTACGACCTTTCTGGCTACCGTTGTTAAGTAAATCACTGCAGTTAAGTTAGTTAACACCCGTTGTTAAGTGAATCGGGCCTCCCCCACTGACTTTGCTCGTCACAAAAGGGGGTCATGCGACGCCAGGACACTGCAATCGTTGTAAGTATGAACCAGTTGCCAAGGGTCTGAATGTAAATCATGTGACCACACGGATGCTGAAACAGTCATAAGTAGGAAAAATGGGTCATAAATTAGTTTTTTTCAGTACCGTTGTAACTCTGAAGGGCTGCTAAATGAACCATTATAAGTTGAGGATTACCTGTGCACTAATCTAGCTCTCCCCCTACGATCTCTGCAAAGCACAGCTTTGCCTTCATTGGGGAAAAAAATATGTACCATGATTAAACCATCTATCATGGTTACTTGTCATTGCCATCTGTACAGCTGAAAGCGATGAAAGCTGTCATGAGAGTCTGGATTTTTAAAATGCTTTAACATCCTAGAGATAGCTGGATTTGTTTTTTCCCCAGCATAACCAATTTAGGGGGCATCAAACTTTCAACTTCCAAACATTAGGGGTGCTCCAAGGTTGCGACAGGCCTTTGGAATTGTTAAGATCTTTTGCTTACTTGCAATATAATTTAAATGTCCTTGGGAAGGAACGACATAAATATCGTAACTTTTTAACATTTTGTTTGTTCCAAACATATTAGGGGAGTCAAATTATAAAAAAACAAAAACAAAACTCACAACCAGCAACCAAGAGTTTCAATAGAAGAGAATAAATGTAGCTCAGGGTTGAATTGTGGGGTCCTTGGGGCCTGGTTGTTTTCTTGCAGACGTTTCATGACCAAACTAGGTAATATTTTCAGGGTTAGAAGGGAGTGGTTTTTTTTTTTTTTTACTGTTTCCTTATAGACCAGTGCCATGATGTGGCATGCGCAGCCATTTGTGCGGGCACGCAAGCTCCCAGCTGATTTTCGGCCCGTTTGAGGCCTTTTTCGCCTTCCCAGGGGCTCGAGGGAAGCCTCTGCGGCCTTTGGAAGCCAAAAAATGGGGCCGTTACGGGAAGTGCCAAAACCGGCCTGCTTTTCGGCCTCCAAAGGCTTCCTTTGAGCCTCTAAGAGGGCGAAAAAGGCCTCAAAGAGGCCGAAAATCAGCTGGGAAGCGCGCGCATGTGCAGTGCAGATAAGGGGTGTGTGTGTGTTGCACACGCGCATGGAGGATGGGTGCATTGCATTGTGGGTGCTTTCGGCACACCACACCAAAAAGGTTCACCATCACTGGACTAGTGCCTTGCCGTGGGAGAGTTCTTGGTGGTTCCTTGAATAAGTTGTTGTCAGTGGTGGGTTTCAAATAATCCTATCACCGGTTTGCTGAAAATGTGAGCGCACGCAAGCGTGCATGGCTTCCAGGCACGCGTGCACAGCTTCCTGAGGCGCGAATCCGCTGCGCTAAAAAAAAACAAGGGAATTTAGGACAGGAAAGGGCGGGGTCAAATGGGTGGGGGGCCATCCAGAAGTGATGTTTGCTGGTTCTCCAAACTACTCAAAATTTACAACTACCGGTTTGCCTGTCCCGGTCTGAACTGGCTGAATGCCACTTCTGGTTGTTGTTGACTTGTTAGCTTGTTCGTCTAAATGGGCAGCTTTGTAAGCATCTCACTCCACTCCCTTGTAGTAAGTCCTGATGATGTAATCTAGTTGGGTAATTCAAAGTCTATAAGAAAACAATGTTCAGAGAGCACCAAAGACCCCACAGTCTTTATCTTCCTCTTCCTCCTCCTCCTCCTCCTCCTCCTCCCCCTACAAACCACATCCCTGTTAGGCGTCCAGAAATTGTCCAGGGTAATCAATCACTCCGAGACAAGTATAAGCTCCAATTGATTGATTAGAACATCTCTGGTACGTCTATGGAATTTCCCAAATTGAAAGTCGTTTTCAGCGAGAGTTTCACAAAATCCGCCTTCTCTCCTCCCACTTCTTACACTTCATTAATCACCAGAACCAATTAACTGAAGCTGGAATTTTTTAATACGAAATAACCTTGAACTTTCCAACTCCTCCACCCCACTTTCATTCCTTAACATCCTTGGAAGCTGAATCTCAGAGCTGACAAATTCCCTTCTATCAGTGTTGATGTTATCTAGTTGGGCAACGAAATATTTGCAAGGAATAGCCAAGCTCACAGCGCACCAAGGAGCCCCACCAGCCCTTCTCCTCCTCTTCCTCCCAAATCCCACTCTCTTCTATATGATACTGATGATATTACCCAAATGGGTCATGAAACGCCTGCAAGAAAACAGCCAAGCTCAGACAGCAGCAAGGATCCCACTGTCCTTGTCCTCTTCTTGCTCCCCACTCCCTTCTAGCACTGATGATGTTCCCTAGTTGGGTCTTGAAATGTCTACAAGAAAAAAAAAGCCAGCTCTGAGAGCACCAAAGACTCCACCATCCTCCTGCTCTCTCTTCCCTCCAACACGGATGATATTGCCTAGTTGGGTCCTGAAACGTTTTCAAGAAAACAACCAATCTTAGAGAGCACCAAGGACTTGATAGTCCTCCTCCTCCTCCTTCTTCTGTCCACCCCCCCTCCACTCCCTTCTAGCACTGATGAGGTTCCCCAGCCAGGTAATAAAATGTCTGCAATAAAACAACCCAGCTCAGACAGCATCAAAGATTCTGCAATTCTCCTGCTCCTCGTTTCTCTGCAGACTTCACTCCCTTCTAGGACTGATGATGTTACTTAGTCAGGTAATAAAATGTCTGCAAGAAAGCAACCCAACTCAGAGAGCATCAAGACCCCCCCCCCACAATTAAGGGCTGGAATGTTCTGGGGGCAAGAGGGGCTTGCACCCCCAGCCCTACGCTCCAAGGCTCGGCGAGTGGTCAGAACCGGGGGGGGGGGGCTTCACCTGGTGCAGGCAGCAAGTCGTCTATGTTCACGTTGAGAAGTCTGGGCCACACTTTGCAGCGAATCTCGTCCATGAGAAGGCCTCCTTCGCTGATAGCCATGCGCCGGAGGGGAGCAATGTCCACCGGCTCATTGTTTAGCACTTGGTAGATCTCGGCTACCTTCCTCTTCTGCTTGGCGTCCGAGTCTGAAAGAGACAGAAACCGACATGAGTCAAGGGCCGCTTCTCCCACCAACCTGAACTGGCCTCAAGCCAGTCTGGCCTAGTGGTTAAGGTTCCGGCCTAGAAACCAGAAAGTGGTGAGTTCTAGCCACACCTTAGACACAGACGCCAGGTGGGTGACTTTGGGTCAATCGCCAGGTAAGTTCTAGTCCTGTCTTAGGAATGAAAGCTGACTTTGGGTCAATCACCAGGAGACAGTGAAATCTAGTCCCACCTTAGGGATGAAATCTGGAGGGTGGCTTTCGGTCCATGGCTAAGAGACAGTGAGTTCTAGCCAGCCTTAGGCATGAGAGCCAGCTGGGTGACTTTGGCCTATTCCAGTGATGGCTAACCTATGACACGCGTGTCACTCGTGACACGCCGAGGCACTTTGACTGACACGCCTGTTGGTGTGGGGAAAACCTGCACATTTAGAGGCTGCCTGTGCTCTGCTCCAATCCCTGCTCCCTGCTTGTTGCGCGGAGGCGTGGTGTCACCGCTGCCGCGAGATCTTTGCAGCAGAGAACCAGTTTTAACCGCCATAAACTGAGGTTTGTCAGTTTCATTACCTCAGGAACGCTACAGGAGGAAAGGAGATCCATGAGGTTCACAGCCCTGTAAGGTGGCCTTCCGATCCCCACATCCTGCACCTGCAGCCCTGAGACCAGGGAGACGGGTTTCACAGCCCTGTGTGATCACCCCAGCCCAGTCCATCATAAACCAAATTATTGATATTTCTTGAAGTGACACACGACCCGAGGAAGGCTACACTTTTTCCCAATTTTCGACACACCAAGCTGAAAAAGTTAGCCATCACTGGCCTATTCATTCTCTCTCAGCCCAACCCATCACAGGGTTGTTATGGGGAAAACAGGAGGAAAGAGTATTAGGCATGTTGGCCACCTTGAGTTCATTATAAAGTAATAAAGGTGGGATAAAAAATCTAATAAGAAACTCAGGATCAAAGCCCGAGAAGGGAAGTTCCAACAGACATCAGTCTAGCCAGCTGAACCAGGATTTTCGAATGAAGTTGTTAGGAATGTAAGTCACCTAACAGTTGGGTTGGAAATATATAAACCAGGATAGACAATTTAATACTGTCTCTTTAAGGGAATGCTAAACTTGTAACGGGGTGTGGTTCCTCAAACGGCCATAAGATGGAGCCAGAAACCTGGGTTGTTTAGTCCTGTTGTTGACAGTTGCTAGTTGGTGGATGTTCTGATGTTTCCTGTTTCCTGAATATTTCCCTATTGACTGTTGCTGATCATACTGTGTTTCTCACAAAATAAGGCTGGGTCTTTTTTTTTTTTGAGCCCTGAAAAAACGGCTAGGCCATCATTTCAGGGGTGACTTAATTCCCCCTCCCTTGCATCCTCGCCTAGAGCGCCTGCGGGCAGCCATGCCTCGCCACCAGCCGCTTCTAACGGGCGATCGTGGTGGAGCATGGAGAGCTCCCTACTCCCACCACGCACCTTTGCTGCAGAGCCGAGACCTTCGGCGCCCACCGCTGTTGCTTTCCCTTCTGCCCATTCCGCCGCCGTGTATGGAGCTGCCGCTTCCGCGTTTGGGGCACCGCCGCCGTTTGGAGCACCGCCGCCGTGTTTGGAGCTGTCGCTTCCACGTTTGGAGCACCGTTGCTATTTGGAGCACTGCCGCCGCTCCAAACACACTCCAAACGCGGTGGCGGTGCTCCAAACGCAGAAGCGGCAGCTCCAAACGCGGCGGCGGTGCTCCAAACGGCGGTGCTCCAAATGCGCTCCAAACAGTGGCGGTGCTTCAAACGCAGAAGTGGCAGCTCCAAACGCAGCAGCGGCATGGGCAGAAGGGAAAGCAACAGTGGCGGGCACCGAAGGTCTTGGGTCTGCAGCAAAGATACTTGGTGGGAGTAGGGAGCTCTCTGCGCTTCGCCATGATCACCTGTTAGGAGTGGCTGGTGGCGAGGCATGGCTGCCTGCAGGCACTCCTAACGGCAAGTCCCCTCCGCCCTTCCCCCCATTTCACATGTTTTAAAATAGGCCTAAATTTGGGGGGAGAGGCTTAATTTCATCTTATGCCTATGAAACATGCTGGGTCTTTCTATTGGGGGGGGGGCGTATTGTTGGAGAAACACAGTAGTTCTTCTTGGATTTGATGTAAGTCTGTTACTGAACTGTTTATGATACTAGACTTTGTTTTTTTTGATTATCCCTGGACTGAATACTGACTGCCTTAACCGTGTATGACTTGGACTGCTTGTTGGACTTTGCTTAACCATTTCCTGGAAGTAAAAACCTACACTTTACTATACAGTGTATCTGTGTGCTGGTTGTGTGTTATTCCTCACCACTCTCACTACATCTCCCTGTGTGCACTCATTCTCCTAACGGGGAATTACCTCAACAGAAGTCACACCCTTGCTTCCTAACTTGAATGGACAAAATAAACATTCTCACTTCAGAAGGCTGTTTTAAAAAAGATAGCACCCATCTTTAAAAAAAACAAAACCCATAGATTTAAATTGAAAGATAAAGGAGCAAAGAAATATTGATGTGTAAAAAGCATCCAATGTGCCTAGAAATTTTGCATTTACATCACGACTGCCCTACATATCTGATCAAAGCCAGGAAAAAGTTGGTAATCCTCACTTATTTATTTCACAGGCCTTATTATCATCAGGAAAAGGAAGAAACCATATTACTGTTGGGGAAAAAATAATGCAATCACCTCAGAACAGGTGAGTCCAGAACAAAGTAGCACAACCTGTTTGTATTTAAAGCCCTCTTTCATAATACACCTCTTACCTAATTGCATATCTAATGTGCAGTTTTAGAATCCATACTCAAATAATCCGATCGGGAGGGTTTAATCTGGTGAAGCTCTTGTCTTTTGGCTTGGATTTAATACATCCTATTGACCTAAATGATCTGAATTCTTGGTCTTTAAAAAAGGATTTTGGAATAGGTAACGGAACAGCCTGTTCAGCTGCATGGGGCACATTTCATAAGTTCTCAATTTCACAAGCTTTAAAGAATATAACACCAAAATATATCAGGATACCTGACCCAAATACTTTTCAGAATTAGTAGGCTAAACAAAGAGGGGGAATGCAAATTGTAAAAGGGCAAATACGGAAGCTGAAATGGTTGTATGAAGTTATATGAACTATGTAGAATACATCTTCCTTTTTTATATAAATTATTTTCTCTTTTACTGTGTTAAGCACCAAATTTTAAGGAGAAAAAAACACCATGATAACTTATGACTTCGGTTACTAAACGAATGGTTGCAACTTCGGCCCTTATAATTTCAGTCGCTAAACGAATGGTTGTAAGTTGAGGACTAGCTGTAATGGCAAGACAGCGGGAGCAAAGGGCTGGCCTAGATCCCAAAATTGATTTTGCCCTCTTTTTTTTTTTTGTCTATTTGTTTGTTTTGATTGACATTTCATTTTGGACACGTTCTTTTTCCTCCTTCGTTCCCTCCAAATTGAACTCAGCTTTCCTTGTCAACTCTTTAAATGGATTCTTTACATTCGATTTCTCCAAATCTCAGCCGGAGAATTGAGAGGATTTATTTGCTTGGCTAGCAAAGCAGGGTAAGGAACAATAATCAGCTTCGTTGCCCTTGATATTAAAAAAAAAAAAAAACAGAACCAGATTTCCACTATCGGGAGTCCACCATTTCATTTAGCAACTGTTCAAAGTTACAACGGCACTGAAGAATGGGACTTATGACTATTGTTCAGAGCTACAACCTTTGCAGCATCCCCACGGTGACGTGACCAAAATTTAAATGCTTTGGCAATTGATCTGTATTTATGACGGATTGCAGTGTCCCGGGGTCCTTTTGCAACCTAAAGTCAATGAGGAAGCCGCTTAACAACCGTAGGACTAACGTAACAACTGCAGGGATTCACTTAACAACTGGAGCAAGAAAGGTCATGAAATGGAGCAAAATCCATTTAAGAAATGCCTGACTTAGCACAGAAATTTTGGGCTTCACTGTGGTTCTAAGTCTGTAGAACCAAGCCGGTTTTTCTGCAGGGACACTGAGTAAAGGAAAGAAAGTTATTTTTTTTTTTGTCTCTAGCATCAAAGCAAAGATGCTCTTTCCAAGATCAAATACGGGATGTCTTCGAAGCATAGGCAATTAAAATAAAGGAGAAAATTGAGATGCAAATATAACGATGGCTAGTTAAAAGCATTCCACCTTAAAAGTATGCATTTTAAAAAGAAGGAGAATTCCCCCGAGGAGGAGGTGCATGCGAAAGTATCAGCCTCTGCCATTTGAATAAAAGATGCAATAGGAAATGTTATTTATTTATTAGATAATAGAATAGAATAGAATAGAATAGAATAGAATAGAATAGGAATAGGAATAGAATAGGAATAGGAATAGGAATAGGAATAGAATAGAATAGGAATAGAATAGGAATAGAATAGGAATAGAATAGAATAGAATAGAATAGAATAGAACAGGAATAGAATAGAATAGGAATAGAATAGGAATAGGAATAGGAATAGAATAAAATAGAATAGAATAGAATAGAATAGAATAGAATAGAATAGAATAGAATAGAATAGAATAGAATAGAATACTTTATTGGCCAAGTGTAACTGGACACACAAGGAATTTGTCTTGGTGTAAATACTCTCAGTATACATAAAAGAAAAGATATTCGTTAAGAATCAAGAATCATAACATACAACACTTAATGATAGCCATAGGGTACAATCAGCAATCAAATTATCTTGCCTTTTGATGAGTAACTCAATGTCAGCTGTGGAAGCCATATTAGCACCAGTCATTTCCACATTGCCACATTCTTGAGCCCAGGGAAATGGGAGGGGGGAATTTCTTGGAGTGTAAGTGGTTAGACATAATAGCATTCTTCTTCTAAGTCAAGGTCATGTTATTTCTGCACCTGGGTGAGAGGACGTCTCAAGTCGGGACGGAGGGTGATTGGGGCATGTGATGCCATGAGGGGAGCAGGGGGTGGGTTTGTA